TTCAGAACCTTCAGCGGCAGGTTCAGAACCTTCAGCGGCAGGTTCAGAACCTTCAGTAATAAATACTCTGTTGGTTATTAAAGGATTTAAAACGTGACCTTTGGAGGGTCTGGGAGTTAAAGGGATGTTGGATGAATTCAAATGAGAACACATCCTGAACCAGGACCAGGAGCTCTTTGGACCAAACATCTTTATTTCTATCAATCTTTGGTCTCGATTCATTTAAAACAGATCCTTTGTTAAAATAATTTTTAAACTCTGAACGAGCCTCAGAAGGTCCAGAGAACTGCTGATAAAGACCGGACGGTCCGACCGCTTGGAAGGAAACTACGGAAACAAGGACCGGATCAGAGACTTCTCAGCCTCAAGTTGAACAGTCCTGAAACTCTTCAGTACCAACCTGGGAGTTGAGCAGCTGGGCTCTCTGGATCTGGGACAGAACTGGACCGACTCTGGGGGGAAACGGGCCGCGACACAGCGGAGAGTTCTGCGTGCAGACGGGACAAAGTGTTGTGAAGACGCAGTGTCCACATGGGTTCAGATTAAACAGGAAGAGGAGGGACTCACAGCTATGTTCAGGAGGGCGTTGGGTGACAGGCGCTCAGGGAAGGGGGTGGGGTACCTGTGCTGGGCTGGGGCTCGGACATGAACCGCTGTGGGGTGGTGGATCTACGACAGAAAAACAGAGGGCTGGAAACGACTCCACGCTTTCACATTTAAGTTGTCTGAATCACTGGGGGAGGACGGAACCGTCACCTGATGGTTCAGGGCGTGGCTCATTGGCTGCTTGGGTGGAGTCCCGATAGGCACCGCCCTCACCGGAGGCGAGCCAATCACAGGGGAGGAGGAGCGCGGCGGTGGAACCCTCTCAGACAGATCCCGTCCTTCGTCGCTCCTCCCCTGAGGGGCTCGTTTAGGAAGACCCACCTCTTTGATGATGGACATCAGTGGACTGTCCTGGACCAGAAACAAAGGGTCATGTTTTACTTCACCTGAGGGGCGGGGCTGAGATTAATCTGAAGCCAAACGGCGGCCATTTTCCTTTACCTCCATGTGTGTGGAGAGTCCAGGAGAGACGCTGACCGGTCCAAAACACATACTGTTCTCCCAGATACTGTGAGAGTTCATCTAAAAGAGACAAAACAAATATAAAAAATACAAAAACAACCAGACGGAACCGGGTCGGTTCTGTAGCTGAAGACGTTTCTGTTTCCATCCGAGAGGCTGGAGGGAACATCCAGGAAAACCCTACGAAACACCCAAATATCTGACACCGATCACAATCATAATTTGATGAACCAGATTTACGTCTGATTTCTGCTGACGTGTCAACAATAAATTTATTTTGTTTGGTTTGACAAGAACTTCTTGGACTTCCGAGCCCGATGAATGAACGAACGTTTCTTTCGTGCCAACGTGACCAGATTCATGAGTTTTAACAAGCCTTGAAAAATATTCAGCTCTAAAACATTTTCTTATTTTAGAACTCGTCAAATATTAAAACTGACATCTTTGATTCTCGTTGCAGCTCTCGGGGCTCGTTGGAGCCGGGTCTGAATCCTCGAGTTGTCTGTTCTGAACACGTTTGGCATCGTTAGCAGCTTCCTGTCCCACAGCACACCTGCTCAGGTGGGATGAACCCACACACACAGTGCGCTCGCTTGAGTCGCAGTATTTTACAAACCTGACGTTGGGACGAACAAACTTTGGTATGAAAGAAAGATGCTCGTTCTGTTCGCCTCGTGCAAGACGGATCAGACGGAGCTGAAGCTCACCTGAGCGATGGGGGCGGAGCTCCTGCGCAGCAGGTGCTGCTGCTGCTGGTAGCTGAGCATGGAGGAGGCAGGAAGGCCTGAAGAGGAGCGACAGGGTCCAGTCAGAACAGAACTCAATTTGTACCACACCTGACGTCAGAGCGTTTACAGAAAAACAGGCGAAGATTCAGTCCTGAAACACTCGAATCATAAAATCCTTCGAGTAACGATTGTAAATAAAAAAGTGCTGCAGAAGGTTTTTAGAACTCGTCTATTTGAGACAAGAAAAATGCAGCAAGAAGGGTTTAAACAACATAAATGAGTTTATTTCTGTTAGTTTTCAGTCAGAGGAGCAACAACAATTCCTTATTTCCCACCCAGTCCACATCCTGGACGCTGGGAGTCCAACAGAGTTCTGACGATGGTGGACCAGACTCAGAAGGTTCTGGAGGCAGCTCACCTGAGGTGTGGGGTCCAGGAGGCAGCTGGTGCTGCTGAGGGATGGAGGACTGCGGCAGGACTCGGGGTTGGTCCAGCCTGTGCAGAGAGGATGTACCGGACCCTGTGGAGCCGGGAGACGAACCGGGCCTCTCGGCGGCTCCAACCCCTGCGATGGCCGGGTCCGCCTCCAGGATGAGTCTGGCCAGAGACTCGGCCAAGCCACCTTCTCCTGCTCGGTCCTCTGCATCTGAGAAGAAGATTTCTGACTTTAGAACCACAAAATCCAGTTTCTGACCCAGGAACCTTCAGACACGGACCCCGACATCACTGACCTGGTCTGTGTGGCGGTCCAGAAGACGACGAGGACAAACCTAAGGACAGGAGGGAAGACTGGAGAGGGGGTTGGCCTGAAGAGGAAGGGAGGTGCACGGAGGACGAGCGCTTCGCTCCTCCTAAATCCAACTCTCCTCCCATCCCACCTCCTCCCAACACAAACCCCGCCCCCAACCCATCGCGCTCGTCGAGCTCAGCGAGGCGTTTGTGTTCCTCCTGCCAGTCGTCGTCTGGAAGAAGAAACAGAAGAGAAGGACGTTTATCCTCAAAGAGCCGTTCGTGAAGCTTAAAAATAAAAAGTTACGTTTGGAACTGATCGATTCTCTCAGACGCAACTTTACACAAACAGCAGTGACACAACTAATGACGTCAGTCTCTTGTTGCTGTTCTCAGATCAGTTCTGCAGGCTGGACTCATTTACACCACAGACCCACAGATCTGCAGTTTGCAGGCCATACTGGGACAGAAAACCCTCGTTCTGCTGAAATCCACCTCCAGCTCTTTGGTTTTTCCCCACACTGATCGGGAGGTGGTTCTATTGACACCGGCCCAGGAAGTCCTGTGTCAATCCTGTGGTCCATGTCTGTGATGAGTCCAACAGTAGATCCATGAAACCGAACGGCGTTGAAAACAACCCTCACAGTCTCCAGGTGAGAGGAGGCAGCACCATCAGCCCTGATCCTCGGCAGGTCCATCGCTTTGCTCAGCAGGGGACGAAGATGGACAAGGACAAAGCTCTGGAGTCTTCATCAGGCCGGACGTGAACTCCACTGATCTGTAGCTGCTGAAGTCCTTGGGGACAGGTCCCAGACAGGAGGTCTTCTTTGGTTGGGGCATCCTGCCCAGCTTCAGGCTCAGGTTGAGGATGTGTCCACACAGCTGGTCCACCGAGGACTTCAGGAGTCTGGAACTGATGCCATGGGGGTGGGGGGTGTCTGTGAGGTGGGAGGGTTGCAGCATGGAGCCATCAGCTCCTCCTGTGGTTGTTCTCAACCTCCCTGATCCTCCTCTTCAGCTCCTTCTGCACCGCCTTCAGCTCGTCCTTCGGCTGATTTCATGTCAGTGACCCGTCTGATTTATTTTTATACATAAACAATTGAAAGAACTTCCACTGAGAGCAGCAACTCCATCATTTGTCCCAGAAGTTTTAAAATCTTAAAACATTTTTTATTCGTTCAAAACTCCGACTGAGTCGACTCGTTCCTTCATCAGAGTCTCACGTTCTGGAAACGGAAGTCAATTCACAAAAATCCACGTTTTGTCAATTTTCTTGTGTAAAACTCACCGATGGCCCCCGCCCCGAAGGTGTCGTCGTTGAACTGATCGATTTCATCTTCCTCCTCGTTTAGCCCCTCATCTTCCTCCTCCAACGTACAGTCATCATCCAGGGACTGGAGGGAGACACAGATGGACATTATGGAGCTGAGACGGAACAAGACGAGACACAAACGCTCTAAAAATGCGCAATTAAAAAAAAAAACATGCTTTCCCTTCACACAGTAAAGGGATGATTCAGCTGTTTTATGTACAGTTAAAATGACCACAAACACCTGAAACAAACAGCGAGGCTGTGAAATATTAACCATCGTTTCTACTCAGACTTGATCCGGTCCTGGAGGTGCTGATGATCCGACCTCCATGCTGGTTCCGAAATCTGAGACCACTTGTTTTCACAAAAACTGAGCTGACAGATAACCACGTGTTACGTTTAATTCTTAAAAGCAGAAGCAATTTTTATTACGACTCCATTCAAGGACCAACATCTGTAACATGTCTCTTTAATGTTCTTCTGTGTCCGCGGACAGAAACGTTCCTGGAGGATCAGCAGATGGCTTCACTCAGACCGTCAGGGGCAGATCAGAACCATGGGGGGCTCCAGTCGGTCCTGACCCTTTGGAGCCAGTCTGCACAGATCCCACCCCGTGAAAACTGGGACTGCGCATGTGGTAAAGGTCAAAGGTCAGTCCGTCCTCAGTCTCCACTCAGAACCATTTGTCAGTTTATTGTGGACCCATCGTTTACAACCAGAACATTTTACACCGAGCTCATCTTAATGAAAACCACATTTATGACCCGCAGACAAAGTTACCATGTTTAAAATAACAAGGGCGGCCATCTTTAAATTTATTTATAAATTAAACGATGATTAAAATAGAATTATAAATTATGTTTTAATCTGCGAAAGAGTCCAGGCTGCACCAGGAAAAACTCCAGGATAAACTAAACTTGGTTTAATATGAACAAATCCCAGCAGAGTTGGTCCAGTCTGATCCAGGGCAACCTGGCAGTCTGGTCCCGACCCAGAATCAGGCTCCATGATAACTAGTGATGAGTGCGGCTCCACTCATCTCATCGGTTCTTCTCAGGTGGAGGTGAATACCCACAGTGACCCATTTCCCCGCTCTGTGGGCGGGATCGTCATTGCAAAGTGGGCGGGGTCATAACTGGTCACTGCGTTTGACGCTTCGCTGAATCTTAACATCAACCAATAAAGTTAGGAAGGTCTGGACCTCATCAGTGGTCCACGGCAATATTTCTGGAGCTTCCATACTAGAAACTAGCAAAACAAACTCCCACCAGACAGGAAGTGGAGGTTCTGATGTAGTTTGTAGCTCTGCTGGGTGGGTCATCCAGTGACGTAGCTCCACTGGCCAGTCAACGGCTGCTCTCCGTTTACGTGAGAATCGGCCCCTTGGAGCAGCCCGTCCCATAAACCAGGCCGAGCATGGGTAGGTACCGGCAGTGGGCAGGCCCTGTGGTGTGGGGCGGAACTGATGAGTGATGAGACGAGTCTGATCCAAACACAGATTCATCCCAGAGCCCTGATCCAAACTTAGACTCGTCCCAGGATTGGACTTTTGGGCTTGTTGCAGGGAAGTGACTGGACACTTCTTTTCCTTTTTGGTCCGTGCTGTCAATAAGATTCAGGTTCTATCTGATCCAGGTTTTCATTGGGTTATGGTCTGACCCAGACGGAGCTGAGACAAGGTGGCACCTCTGGACCGGGTCAATACCAAAGACATTGGTGAATGTAACTGTGGTAGAACACTTTCTTTAATCATCTTTGTTTAACCAGGTAAATCCAGCTGAGATCTATTCAGGTCCTCCTGGACCTGAAGGCAGCCTAACATGAGCAAACGCGAGGAGAACATGAAAACTCCACACAGACAAACCCCAGGTCCAATCCGGTGATTGAACCCAGGACCTTCTTGCTGTGAGGCAACAGTACGAACCACTGATCCATCGTGCTGTCACATGATATAACATGTCTTAAAGACCACTTGGTTCTGTGGGTCCACGTGGTTCTACAGGCTGTGGATGAATGATGGTTCTTGGTGCGGTTCTGCCTGAGGGATCAGCGATCACAGCAGTCTGGCTCCATGGAGTTCCTCCAGGTTCCTTAACGGGTTCCGATGTTCTGCTCTGGACAGAACCCTGGAAATTGTTCAACCTTTTCTAAGAACTTTGTTTTAAATTAGTTCAGTGATTCTCAGACACACTTGTCACCCTGAGTCCTCGAAACATTTTAATCCTCAGACAAAACAGGACCTGTGGACTATTTTAACTTCATTTCATCTCATTTCAAGTTGTTGTTTTGAACCTTTACCTTAAAGGCCTGTGACCTTAATGAAGCTTAAGGTGAATATGGTTGTTGCTTTCCTTAATAAATAGCTGAAAATGACTAAATTACCACATCTGACGAACATCTTGGACCCTCCGACATCCTGCAGGCAGCTAGAGGAGCCGTTAGCTTCGATGCTAACTCTGACGTTACTTCATATTAGCATCGTTGTAAAACTCACGTTTAATATTTATTCTCTACAGCATGGCGTCAGGACGGATATCAAACTCTGCTCTATCCCTAACAGACTGAGCTCAACCAGAAAAAACCGACCGAGTCCAGCCAGCAGTGGCGGGGAACGCTCTCCGTCCCCCCGGGCTGCTCAGCGGGGCAGGCCGCATTCAGCTCTGCTCGCCGCACAAACAGAAGCGAAGACCCGAACCAGAACCCGCACACGGACCGGAACCACCATCAGACATCTGTAAACACACCGCAGCCACGTCCGGGAGAAACTCGGTGCCGATTAAACAGAACTATTCTCACCTGAATTCGAAGCATCGATCTTCTGGATGTTGGGAAAACGAGAGCATCGGGAGCGAGGCGGCGCGCAAATGACGCAGAGGGCACGTCGTCCACTTGAACGCGCGGGAACGAGCACGTTGGTCCGGTGTCCGTGCGTCAACACCGGTGAGTCTTTTGAGGAAACGAGGAAGGGCGGAAAAAAAACAACAGAAACGGTAAACAAAACAAATGTTTGGAAGTGTTTGCGTTTTTATTGTTTTTATTCGGTCAGCTGCTTAACAAGTCGAGGAGTATTAATGCCAGAAAATTCTAGGAACACTGGAGGATTTGCTGACAAGATGACAAAATGTATGAAACATTTCAAAGGTTAGAAGTGAGGCTGTCACGTGACCGCTTAATACTTGTTATAAATATGTAATAAATGGCCTGCACTGCTTTTCAAACATCCAGGCTCAGGTGCCAGGTCAGACAGGTGGAAATCCTTAACGACGTCAAGGAAGTGGCATCTGTCTCATTTCTCAGTTTGTTGAGACTTTTTTGTTTCTCAGAGGACATAAATGGTCCATCGTGTCTTTATGCCACTCATTTACACCGAGGGCCACATCAGCATAATGGTTGCCCTCAAAGGGCCAGATGTAAGACAGTATAAATGTAGCTAAAGTTAACTACATGTAATGTAAAATAAATGCAACTACTCCTTAATGTTAAATAACTCTGAATTTATCATTTATTCAACTTACACACACACACACACACACACACACACACATATATATATGTTTGCATAGATGTAGAAAAATATGTCTGCTTGTTGCTCTGTTATAACATAATAAAACCTTTTAATTTGCCAGGTTATGAAACCCACATTACTCCATAAATCAATGACCAAACTTTCCAAGTGAATAAGGAAAAATAACAAGTTATGACATTAACTTTGTTCAAAACTTTTGTCATAGTTAAGAGAGGCAGAATAACAGTCCAATGAACAATTGTGAGCTGCTAAGAACATGTGACAGGTGTAGCATTTTACAAAAAACAAATGGCTGCGCACAGCCCGGAAAGGGTCATACATCCAATTAATGAGAGATGGTATTATTATAGAAACATTTACCTGCATAAACACATAAACAATCCCAAATACACTGCTGCAAATTTAACATAATGTAATAAAATACATTTAATAAACTCAAAATAACATTAGGGTTGAAGGCTCACTTTGGCATATTTAGCACCTTGTTTGGTGCCAAAAGGCTGTTACTTCGCAGGTAACATAATCGGCATGCATTATGGGAAATATACCGGTACTGGTAGTTTGTTGTCAGTGCACCCTTTTGACTTATTTATTATACGACAGTCAGACCTTTTAAGCTCTCGCGGGCCACATAAAATGACGTGGCGGGCCACATCTGGCCCGCGGGCCTTGAGTTTGACACGTGTGCTTTATGGGGTCCAGTTCGCTCACGTCACATCTGAACTGTACGCAAAATGTTGTTTCACCAGAGTCCCATGCTAGGGGACACACAACAATAGTTAGGTTTGTAACTATTACAGTGGATTAAAATGATTTAGTTGCTAAAACAAAGTTTTATAGAAACATTTAAAACATAAAACTTGGTGACAGATTTTGCAGACAGTTTTTGATTTTGACCATGTGAGCTGTAAAAACAAATCAAAACCCAGATGTGAAAGTTATTTAAAGCAAAGGGAGGGGTTTCTTCAGCATGACATAAAAAATATTAAATGAATATAATCACTTGAGTAGAGAAATGTAAGTTCTGTGGTGCATCAAAACCATTTATCTGACGTTAATTATCCAAAACAAATGGTGTGCTCTGGTAATAAATTGTAACAGAAATAAAACTTCTAATGTACGACTGGTGTTTCTGTCAGTTTGTGACAGCAGACATCAGCGTGCCGCCATCGTCTGCCACCCGGGTCACTCAGAACCTGACCTGGACTTCTCCCCCGCAGGTGGTGGGCCCTTGTGGAGCAGGCTTCCTGTAGTGGCTTTTGGGCTTGGCTGATCCAAAGGAACCAAGGCTCAACCACCAAGCATTCACCGGACAGATTCCCTCCCCAGGACTGGATCCAGCAGGGTGCCCTGGTTTCTGTGGACCTCCTTCATCAAGGCTTTGAATTGCTCTCAGTCTGACACATCCCCTAAGGCCAGTCTGCCACTGGAAACCTTACCAGGGGCTGAAGACCCAGACCACTCATCCCCCAGGATCACAGAGATACTCAAACCCCTCGACCCGGTGAAGGTGACGATTCTGTAGAGGGGGCTGACAGATGTTGCCTTAAGGTCAGTGTCTCTGCTTCAAACTGAGGAGATCAGTATCTGAGAGACCCTGTTCCTGGGTAATGGTAGAATGGTCTGATGGATCAGGGCTTGTCTGCAGTAATGAGGGTGCTGCTCCAGTCTGTCAAAGTAAAGAAATAGCTCACCTGAAAGGCAAAGCTCTGGATTACTGATCTGTCTATGTTTCAATTCTCACCTGTAGTCATGAGCTTTGGATCAGGACTGAAAGAACGAGATCTTCCAGGAGGAGTGGGAGAGTGTTGTTGAGGAGCGGGAGATCTGGTTCTCTCCTAGATATGTATGTATGATGGATGATGATGGATGTATGATGGATGATGATGGATGGATCATGGATGATGATGAATGTATGATGGATGATGGTGGATGGCTGGAAGATAGATGAATGGATGGAAAATGGATGATGATAGATGAATGGATGGAAAATGGATGATGATGGATGTATGATGGATGATGATGGATGGATAATGGATGATGGTGAATGTATGATGGATGGATAATGGATGATGGATGGATAATGGATGATGGTGGATGGCTGGAAGATAGATGAATGGATGGAAAATGGATGATGATGGATGGATGGATGATGATGGATGATAATGGGTGATGATGGATGGATGGATGATGATGGATGTATGATGGATGATGTTGGATGGATGGATGGATGAATGATAGATGATGGATGGAAAATGGATGATGATGGATGGATGGATGGATGGATGGATGGATGGATGGATGATGATGGATGGATAATGGATGATGGTGGATGAATGGATGATGGATTATGATATATGATGGATGGATAATGGATGATGGATGGATGAATGATTGATGGATGATAGGATGGATGGATGATGGATGGTTGGATGACAGATGGATGATGGTTGCATAGATGATGGATGATTGGATGATAATGGATGGTTGGATGCACATATGTATGGATAGAAAGATGTATGGTTGGGTGAATGTTGGATGATAGATGATGGATGAATAATGGATGGATGGTTGGATGGATGATGGAGGATGATGGTTTGGTGATGATGGAGCATGGCTGGATGATGGATTGATGATGGTTGGATGGATGCTGGAGGATGGTTGGATGATGGTTTGATGGATGATGGATGTTCCGTGTCTTGTTTGGACCTTTAACTTTATAATCTCTCTGTCAGTAAAATGAGTAAATGTAACTCATTTTCGTGCAGAAGAACAAAGACCCCTCCTGTCTTTCCTCGTTCTCGGGTCTGTTTTTGTTTGTTGTTTACTTCCTGTAAATAAACAACAACCACCTGGTCTTTCTGCAGGTTTCGAGCAGCGGTAAAGGTTCTGGGTCACCATGGTGCTGTGTCAGCTCTGCTCTCTGGACCACCTGAACGTTTCGGGGTTTGGTCGTCCTCCTCCACGACACGGACTCCAGCTGCTCTTCTGGTTCGCCAACCGCTGCGTGATCTTTGACCCCGACAACGCCGCAGACACCATGTTGGTGAGATCAAAGAAACCTCCTAAACACGAGCCTGTTTTGGAGAAGAAAGCAGGTGTAGATATTTGACTGGACTCACGTTGGATCTGACCCCACAGCTGGTTCTGGACTGTCCGCCGGAGAAAGGCGTCTATGGCTTCCACCGGTTTGGGAACATCGAGGAACTTCTGCCCGTCCTCTCCAAACCCAAGAAACAGAAGAGCAAGAAGCAGGTCTGCAGGACTTCCTGTTTTACGTTTAACCATGTGTGACATCATCGATGCCACTCAGCTCACAGCGAGCCGATCATATTAACGTCATGCAAACTGTGAGACAAGCAGCAAACCTGCTGTCGTGATCGTCTGTCCGGTATCTGTCAAACCTGCTCGTCTGGCCAGTTGAAAATCCAAGATGGCTGCCTTTTTTTACCTATTTCTGCACATCCATCCATTATCTTTACCCGCTTCTTCCTTTTTGGGTCGCGGGGGTCACTGGTGTCCATGTCCAGCCATCACTGTGCAAGAGGCGGGGGACAGGTCTCCAGTCCATCACAGGGACACATAGAGACAAACGAGACAACCATTGACTCTCTCACTCACACCTAGGGACAATTTAGAGTTACCAATCAGCCTAACATGATAATGCAATTAATTGATGAATTCAAATGATCTCTGTGTCTTGTAGCAGTAACCTTGTACTCTGCAGGTAACACATATTGGTAAATTAATAATAATAATAAATCAGCCATATTGGATTTTTGATGGTCAGTCGGGTCGAATTATTCAGAAATCTGTCGATTTTGGAGCTTGTTTCACATTTTGCTAAATTATTGTGAAACATTTATTTTAGCTGCTTCACTACAGATGGGTTCTGGTTCTGAAGCAGATTACAGTCAAATATCAAAATCTCAAGTCTCACAGAGAAACAAGAACCACTCGCTGAGTTTCAATAACAAACATTTCCAGTCCTAAATATTAAACACATTTTATTACAATATAATCTGTTGTTACTAAATTAAGTATTTATCAGATTTTTAAGCTAAATGAGAAACGATACAAATATTTTTGTGAGGATGGTGCCCCCAGTGTCCCATCTTGTAATGTGTCAGCTGCTGTCTGTCCCAGGTGTTTGTGTTTAAAGTGTTTCAGGTCAGTTTATGTCTGGCCATTGTTTGGCGAGGTCTCGTTTGCTCCTCGTGTTTCCTCTGTGTGTTTACTGGTTAAGTAAGTTTTGCTGTCACGACAGCTCTTTTATTTAATTAAAGTTCTTTTTTTGTTTTTGTTTTACCTGCTGGGTCTCAGAGTCCTGCGTG